CCCTTTCTCCTTCCTCCCTCCCACCACTTCTCCACCTTCCCACTCCTTCTTCCCCACACTCCCATCCCTTCTTCCCCACCCCTTCTCCTCCATCCCTCCCTCCCCTCCACCACTTTCCCCGCTCCCACCCGTCCAGCCGCATTCAAATACCCCGAAGATGTCCGAGTGTCCTCTGCTGGAGGCCATGCTGTGGAGGTGTGGTGGAGAGGGGTCCACATCACACAGCCTGAAGCCAACGTGTACGGATACGTGGTGAGTGACGCCTGTATTTCGGGGCTAAATGTGTCACGACGTTGTGTAATTAGGTCCTCGCAAATGTTTGGGCATATGGAGTTATTGGTATCAGCTTATTAAAGTTTGTACATTTGCCTCGCTTTCCATGAAAAAATTACCAGTCTGTCTTCCGTAGAAGTCGAGATATTTGCGATTGAACGAGGTGAGGGTCGCCTGGTTTCAGGGGTAAAATTAGCAAGAACAAGAAAAATGACCTCCAAAGTTTTTGTGACTTCCAAAGCTTAAGAGTCCTTGGAAACTGTAAATTTACAGTTTTTGTACCTTTAATCAAAGTTTTCAGTAAAATCCACACAGTAATCTATCTTTAATTGAACATAAAAGGTGCTGAGCCAAAAAATAAAATTTCAATGAAAAATTAACGAACTGGAAGAAAAAAGCCGTTTTCTTCGATTCCGTTGTTTTGACGAGTGTCTGATTTTACCACGATTCCTCACAGATGCCTTGAATACGTATTAATCTTTTCACTGCCAGAGTTGCTTTATAACCTCATTAAATAGCCCGAAACAGCATCGGCCTAGACAGTGAAGGGGTTAAATAGTATACAAAATTTATGTCGTGGCAATACAGGTATATCACGATAAATACCTTCAATACTTATAAAATGGTGTGTGAAATCTTATATTGCGGTGAGCAAATATGTGCCTTTTAGGGTAAATGCCCTCAATTCTTATTAAACAGTAGTAAATCCTTGTAATACATGTGTTTTGGGGAATATCACACCCTCAATATTTGTTGTTTCTTTTTTTTTTTTACTCTGCCTATTCTATCATCTGGCGCTTTTGTGTTTATTAACTACAACAAAATGTGCAACATTTGAGATTTAAACTGTTAATCTTAGAGTGACCACACAGGAGTATGTTTATAATAAATAAATAAATAAATTTTTTTAAATGGCGGAATGTGCGAACAATGACGATT